AAAGTGATGTCAGACAACCCCCTCTACCACCACTACCACCTCCCGACACCCCACCTCCCTCGGACCCACCCGACACCTCCCACCATCTCATTCAGCTTTTACCATGTTTCAAAATAATGCTTCCCAGTAGGGTTCAGCTTTCTCTGAGTGGCTGCCTTTGAGTGTTTTTTTTTCTCTTTCTCTCTCTGTACTGATAAAAGCAAAATTACACAAGATTGCCCACATACAATAGAGGGAGCTATAAATGCTTTCATTTTGTTTTTTCATTTCAGCTCCTACACGTTCGTCCCATACGCGAATGTCAAGTATATGCAGGTGACAGGCTCTAATCTCTTTCCCTCCTCGTGCCCCTTTTTTTCTCCCTCTCTCTCTCTGTTTCCACCTCTGTCTCTCTTTGTGTCTCCCTCGCTCCCTCTGACCACCCTCACACACTCTGCCAACATGAGATAGCCATGTCTGCGTGTCCGGCGCGTCGCGTGTGATAGCCTGTGACGTATAGCGTCACGTGCCAGCAGTTTTAGGGTTCCACAAGAAGCTACTTATTATCGTTATCGTTTTTAGGCATCATCATTATCAGCTGGAGCAGACGCAGCGGGTCCCTCTACGTCATTGTTCACTCCAAAGCCCCTAAAGCTCTTGCCGCCAAAGCTACCCACAACATAGCCAACAAATGGAAGGGAGGGAGGGAGGGAGGGTGGAGAACATGACAAAAATCACTCTGGCACTCTTTCAATGTCTCTCCTCTCATCCAGGCCTCCAAGCCCCCCACAACCACCACCCTACTTCCCATACACCCTCTCCACTCTATCTTTCTGTGTTTATTGTTTTTTGTTTGTTTGTTTATTGGGGGGTTTTCACCTCTCTATTATCGAATGTTCACGTTTGTCTCGTCCACGCTTTCTTGTTCCATCACACTCTATCTTTCAGCGTGACACCCTCTGCCCTCGTCCGTTCTCCGTGGCGGCCATTATCTAAACCACCCATCTCCTCATCTTTCCCCCCAATTCTACTCGCTGACGCTCAGGAGGAAAAATTTCACAACCTAGACGCAGATAGACACACACAGTCGTAGGGCGTGCGTGCAAATGCTCTCACCCACCAACCCCACCGTCCTCCTCTTCCCCCTCCTCCTCCTCCCACACCACCACGACCACCTCCACAACCTTCTACTCTTTTCAAACCCCTACCCCCCACCCTAATCCTAATCACACCACCGCCACCGTCATCAGCCCTTATCTCCCTCCACCAAATCTGCTCTGACTCAAAACAATTTCCTCTCATTTGCGATTTTTACGGCCCGCCCCCCGCCTCCTACACCTTCATCAACCCACCTACCCCCTTCCAATAAACCCTCTCCACCTCCTCAATACCCCATCGCTACCCATCCGATACAAACCCCACCCAAACTGCACACAAACACATACACGAATGGACTCACGTACACACACTCTGAGCGGTCGCCATTAAGAATGACGGCTCATCGCGTGTAAGCGGCGAATTGCCACTGTCATCCAGTGGAGCCCGAGAAGAACTGCAGTGTGACGTCATGGCGGACGCCGGCCCCGCTGGTTGGTGGAGAATATTTACGTGTGTGTGATTCTGTGCATGTGGATGGGATGGGGGAGACAGAGGAATACAATTTGGTGAGTGGGTGGACCCGTTGGGCCTTGCTGCATCACTGAACCAGGAAAATGAATGAGAACCTACATTAGATGTCACCCCTTCCTCTCTCATTGGTCTCCGCTAATTTTCATTCCTTTTTCCTCTAATTCACATCTCCTTTTGGCCCCCAAGGTGAAGAAAAACAGTTAAAACTGCAAAAACTATCCAAGTGTTTGACGGTATGTTCCACAGTATGTTACAGGGTTCTTTAACTGTATTCAGTTATTTAAAGCAGCTGAAGAATAAACAAATGGTTTTTTTTTTTACATTTATTATATGGTAAGAAATCCATTCAAAGTTCAGTTAAGCAGTCTGGTGCTGGTGCCAGAAATTTTGTGCATTTGAATTTTCACAAGAGCAAAACAGCACCACCCAATGGGAGGTTTTCATAGCCACAGCTGGAGAGAGGAACGCCTCACTGAGAGGTGTTACTAGGGCAGAAAAGAACATGAACATACTACGCAATGAGCTGCAAAATTGACAGGATACAAGCATGCACGACGCTTTACAGCAGCAGTGACTCAGTGATTTACTTCAGTGAGGGGGGAAACAAAATGTAGTCTGTCTCTGAAAAGCACAGACCCAGTTCTTTTTATGTCTCTCCTTTGACTAAAAGGCACATAGTTTTTACAGTGCAGTTTTTATTGGTGAGCTGATTTTTCAATTATTGCCCTTAGCTGATAGTGAACATGGTGATTCACAGATGTTGAGCTTATAGTGAGAAGGTTTAAAAACTGTAATTCAGGTCAGATTCATGAACAAATTGGCAAATGTCAGCATGGTTGTCAATGCAACCTTACACTGTTGTCCAGCAACTTCCACTCAAAGACCATTGGTCTCATGATTGCATCAAACACAAAAATATAGCAAAGTCTTAATTTTAAACTTTTAGCTACATTGGTAAACACACATATTGAGATAATGTGGTATATTGCTAGGCGAGATTGGTTTTTAATCTCTCAGATGTTATGTATAAAAAACATTTTCACAGGACACTATGCAGTGTAACTTTATCGGTTTTTCATATCACTGTGGAGGAAACGTTACTCTATAATGTTGCTTCATTGAGCTTTGTGGGCAAATTCTCTGGCAGGAATAAAGTCCACCACAAAATTTCAAACAGATAAGGGTTTGGACTTTGACTGGATCACCTGGATTCTCTTTATCAGCCTCCTCTCTGGTGTAGATTTCATGCTGTCATTGTCATTGTCATTTTGTGTGATCCAGTTTTGGCCAGCCTTTAGCTGTCAGGCAGATGGCCTCACATTTGACTCTAGAATACTTTGGTATATAAACTTCAAGTTTAATCAACAACTGTAAGATGCCCAAGTCCTGTGGAAAACAAGCCCAAATCATCACCCCTCCGCCATTGCGCTTGACAGTTGGTATGAGGTATTTGTGCTGATACATATAACATTTAATATGCTAACTGAAATATTTGTATGTTTGCATTTTTTCTGAGCATCCGACAGTGTGATCTTGTGAATGTGGTACGATTTCCATTCCTAGGAAGACTGTAGTGTCATGTTAACACACTTGAATGCTCCAGTCCTGCAAACTACCCAAACTTCATTTTTTATAAAATTGCTCACACATGTGATAACTTTCATTTTCACGTGACTGTATATTATCACCCAGCTTTATGGTAAAATCAGCATCTTAATATAATAGTATTTTGCCGTTAGTTGTTTTGGCTCAGGGAGTTGGGAAGCGCATCTGTAACCGGAAGGTCGCCGGTTCGATCCCTGGGCTCTCTGTCCTGGTCGTTGTGTCCTTGGGCAAGACACTTTACCCTACTGCCTACTGGTGTTGGCCAGAGGGACCGATATGGCACCCTCGCTTCTGTCAGTCTGCCCCAGGGCAGCTGTGGCTACAACTGTAGCTTGCCTCCACCAGTGTGTGAATGCGAGAGTGAATGAATAGTGGCATTGTAAAGCGCTTTGGGTGCCTTGAAAAGCGCTATATAAATCCATTCCATTATTATTATTACTATTATTATAGGCTTTATCAATGCCAAAACAGAAAACAGAAAAAGAAAAGCTTATATCAAATGGCAGCATCGGATCCTAAAAGAAAAAGAGACCAAATCCAGAGCAGGCTAAATCTTTGGAACCAGTGACAGTGTCTTTTTAATCCCTCAATACATATCTAGCACCAAGGATAATGTGTCATTTACCTGCACTGTTTAATTCTTCTTTGATGGTGTTCAAAATGCTCCCTTTGTCCTGTTTCAGTTTCTATTGCATTTTTGGATTATTGTGTTTTTGTTGGCTTTCTTCGTTGTTCTTGTGCTTTTGGTTTTTGATTATAGTCAGGCTACGGTTTTGATTTCACTTTATGCATTAGTTCCCATTGTTGTCTTGTTATTGTTTAGTGTTTACAGAATCGAAATCGTGTTAATATGATTTACTGTTCCAGTGTAGGTTTTGAATCCTTGTTTTTTTCCTACTAGGCTTCAGTTCATATTTTGAGTTCCTTTTCTACTACTCACTCTTTTTCCTCTTCCGATGTTACCCAATGTATTACTTCATATATGTTTCAATTATGGTTGTTGCTAATTGTTTCTTGTATCTTGTTTTGAGTTTTACCTCTTTGTCTACGGCTGTCTTGATTGCATTTGTGTCTACTTTCCCCACCTGTTTCCACTTCCCTTATCAATCCCATGTGTATAAATAGTCCAATCCTCCCTGTTATTTCCTTTCCCTAGTGTGCCCTAGTGTGAGTTATCAGGATTCCTAGGTCCTGTTTTGTTATGTCTGGGGGGGGGGTGTTTTTTTCATTTCTTGTATTTTTATGTTGAAACTGTTAGACTTTATGAGATTTTAATAAAGCTCTCTCTTTATTTGATCTGCATTTATTTTTAGACTAAATCGTAACACCTTGGAGATTTAACTTCTTCTATATAGCAAGTTGTGAAATCCACCCCTGTAATAACCAATAAGGCGCAGGGAGAAACCGGATGAACACTGTTTTGACCTGTTAGTGTTTAACCATAGAACTGTGAACTTGCACTTTGACTGAAGAAATATTTTTGCTTTGTTGATGCGGTGAAGACCAGTGATTCTTCAATGATCAACCTTATTTGTGATGCAGCTTGCAGTGTCCTGGCTTTTTTGGTGGGACAGAGGTGGTGAGATCCCTGCTGCCATTTACAGTGCATGTCCACTTTCAGAGACAAGGAGCAACGTGGGCAAGAAGAGCCTTGGTTATTGATTAATACTCTGGTAATTGGTTATTGATTGCTTTCAGCCTCCTTCACATTGTCTGAAGGGAATGCACTGTGCGAAAATCATTTAGTTTGGGACTGAGTTTTGTTTTCTGCCAAATCTCATTTCAGGATGGAAGATTTAGTATCTGAAAGTACATGTAGAGGGGTAATTGGTCAGTCCAGAACAGACGAATTGCCTCCTTCTGCTGCTCTCAGTGTTGACTCATCCTGCGGATCCTGCCTGAAAAGCATCAAGCGCTGGGTGCCTTTGGACTACAAGCATGAAATGGTTCAGCTTTTAAAACTTGCAGGTCCTGTGGTAAGACTGTGTTTAGCTGAAGCAGCTGACAAAGTTTTACCCTGTCTGTATGACTGAATCTAACGGTACTAAGGTACTCCAATTTGAATGTGAATCTTTGTAAATGCTGGAACAGCTCTCTAGTTATTATTAGTGTATACTGAGCAGTTTGCAGTGTAGATCACAAGTTGTCATGAATGAAGTTTGTTACTTTAACTTGGGGTTCGTTTTAGACCAGTAATTATTTTTAATGTGACACCTGTTTTATTAAAACAGTAATGAACAGGTTAATTGCTTCAAACCACTGAGGCTCACTGATAAATAATTATCCAATGGTGATAAAAGTATGATCATGATAGCACTTTAACTAAAACTAATTTCACCCCTTTACTGACCTAAGATATAGTATACTGTATGCTTTAGAGAAGTGGCTCTCAGGCTGTGTGGTGGGCCCCCTGGTGGAGGATACAATCACTGCAGGGTGGATGTAGAAGACTTGGGATAAAATATGGAGTTAAACTAAGTTGAATTAATATGAATTATTTAGGGAAAATAAACCAAAAAATACCTTCCTGTTATTATGTTGACCTTTACTAAACTGATCTTTTCTTATTGTTGATGACTAATGGAAATTGTGTGGTATTAGAAAGAAGCAATGCTGTATATGTCTGTGAAGTTTGTCAGTCATCCAGGTCATCGTAGTCTAAAGAGCTTGGAAAGAAAAGCTTCTGGACTTCTTTAAGTTTCTTGAAGATCTTTCAACCCTCATCTGATTGATTCTTCAGTTCTAAGAGCAACTGGTGCTTCAGGGAACTTAAAGAAGTCCAAACGCTTTTCTTTCCAAGCTCCTTGCAGCAATATACAGCACAGTAATGTATTTTTTATTTTATTTAAATGTTTTATTTCAAACTTGTGCAGTCTTACACTGATCACTTTAAACACAAGACAGATAAATAGGCTGCTCAAAAAGCAGGTGCACCAGAGAGGCAACAACAAGACAACCCTCAAAAAGCAGGTGCTGTCTCCTTATCCCTGCTGACTGATTTCTCTCTACATTCACTTTCTGTTAGGATCTTTTTCAATACAGCATAACACGCTAACCGGACCCCATTCAGGCTGGACAAGTAGTCCAGCTCCTCCAGATAGCACATCTAATGAAGCATCACAAGAAGGCTGGCTATGTCTCAACACTGTCTCAAGAGTGTGGAAGAGATATCTGGAGTTGGGTTGTTACTCCAGAAGAGCTGGACAGAAGGAACCAGCAGGACAAGTATCTGCTCCTCTGGGCAAGAAGGAGAAAGGGTAGCACTATTAGAGCCCTAAAATAACCTCCAGTAGGTTACTCGTGTACATCTTTCTGATAAAACTGTCAGAAATAGCCTCCATTAGACTGTCGTGAGGACTTGATGTTTTTTAGTGGGACACATTCACAATCAAGTAGCTCACTTAGCAGCCACAGAGGGTTCACCTCTGGTGCCCTGTTCTCTTCCAAGATGCATGCATCATAATGCTTGCCAAAGCCTCTCTGACTCTTGTGTGAGCTTGCTCCCATCGATGAAGAAAATGGGTACCACTGGTGGACCTGCCAGTTCTGTGGATCTGTGGCACATGCCAATCAATCTGCATGGTGCTTGCCCCACTAAAGGATATCAGGATCTTGTGCCATGCTCATGGTTCATTTTCTGACAGTTTAGTCAGAAAGAATGCACATGAATAGCCCTGTGATGGTGATGTTGTAGGGCACTGGCAGTGCTCCTGCTGTTCCCCTTCACACAAAGGAGCAGAAACCAGTCTTGCTGCAGGGTTGACGCCTTTTAATGGCCTTTCCTGATATCTCGTTCACACAATAGAAACTGTCCTGGGAGACACAGCAAACCTGTTTTTGACATATGGATGAGTCATCCTGGAGGAGCTGGACTACTTGTGCAACCTGAATGAGCTGCAGCTACTGTCCCCTGCTAGCAGTAGTCACAAGGACACTAAAAAAAAGCAACACTGGAGACAAATTGAATAAGGAGAGAGGAATGGTTTCTTGAAACGATTCAGAGGTCTTATTGTTACCTCTGTAGTGCATCTGCATTTTAATTTGCATCAAAACAGGTGAAACTCCTTCACATTGGTTTGTGCTTCCTAATCTGATAACTGCTATCCAGTGTTGGGTAAGTTACTTTAAATTAGTAACTTAGTTACATTACTAGTTACTTCCATCAAAAGTAACTCAGTTACTTCAAGATACTCGTTACTTTCAAAGTAACTAGTTACTAGGGAAAGTAACTTTGGTTTTACTCAGACTTCTCTTGTTAATGTGTTGCTAACTGGATACCCAGCAAGATTGCCAGTCTTCTAGCTTGCTTACTTGCCACAAGTGCACTGTGCCACCTACCAAAGGAAAAAATAATGTGCATATTTCCACGAGAGAAATCCCACGCCTGGACCGTCGTTGACCGCCACCATGATTCTAGCCTACGTTACAGCGTCATGTGCGCTTTTTACATCCAACACAAAAACTGCAGTCGTGGTGCTTTTGATTGTACTCAGAAATTCTGCCTTCTGAATAGGAAGATGTAGGCAACACCAGACTGCAGATGAGCTGCATACAGGGCAGGACTGGGACAAAAAATCAGCCCGGGCATTTTGACTAGAGACTGGCCTGCCATTATAGCAAAAATCATAAAGCCTTTGAATGAAAACAAACTGTCTTGATGGTATATATGCTTCAATCTATCAATCGTTTGTTGTAAGACTCAGATAATTATTTATTAAAAGCTAGACATTTGAAATGAGAATAAGAAAGTATTTCTTTGTGCCCCCCTTTCCCTGTTAATGCCCTACCTGGCCCCCTGGCAACACTTTGCTAGATCCGCCCCTGCACAGTTACCAGCTGTCAGCTACTTAGAAAAGGATCCTGGTGTTATTTGTCTCTCAGAAACAGTTCATAACTTCCCTTCAACTCATTCATGTCACCTAAAAGGTAAACCTGTTTCTCCATCACCTGTTCAGCTCTGATGATTCAGTAAGGACATCTCCTGGTTTCATCTTCATGTTTCCCTCTCACCAGATAACCAAACCGATATCATGACCAGCAGCTTTACAGCTGTGGCTCCAGCAAACATCAGCTGATACTAGAAAGTTAATATTAAATAAATTCTAACAACAGCTGATCAAGCTTAAACGTGCTGCTGTTGTTTAGCGCGACATCCGCTGGTTTCCTCTTTCTGGCGCAAAGTGGGCGATAAACAAACAAGAGAGAAAACCGATCAGCTGATCATTGATCAGTTTCATGATTGAAGTAGAACAGGAGAGGGAGGGGGAGAGAATGAGAGAAGAAGAGGCAGCTGTGCAGCAAAGACAGAATAACTCCAGCTTTGTGTCTTTTTCATTGTAGCTGAATGTACGGGACAAACTGTTCCTTTTCACCTCAATAAGAAACGCGTAATATTTTCTCTGAATGAGACGATTCCGTTTTTTACGGGAACGGTTGGCAACTCTAATAATTAACCGTATGAACAAAATAAAGTTCAACATCAGTAACATAGCACCCACCCAGCTGTATAGAAACCCCGTCATGCTAGCTAGCACGCAGTACGAAAAAGTCAGCACAACGAAAATAAACTCCACCTAAACTTGGTTTATATCTGACCCAGATAGACTGCAGGTCATAACTTCTTACCTGAAGTTCAGTTCACCTGACACTCGGACCGGCGGCCGCTTCAGGTCTCTCCTCTTGCCTCCCCTTTCTCTCCTCCACCTGCTGGCCTCCACCACTTGCTAATGTTACTGAATCTGTGGAAGCCACCGCAAGAAGTAACAAATAACGAGCCTATCTAAATCCCAGTAACGAGTAACGCGTTCCTGATTTTGGCATAATAACTAGTTACCGTGCTCGTTACCACAATAATAACGTAGTTACTGTAACGCGTTACTTAGTAACGTGTTAGTCCCAACACTGCTGATATCCCTAAAGTCTAACTGATTTTGTCTGCTAAAGTGTTCCCTTTATTTATTTTTAGCACTGTAGTAGAAAACAAACACAGCAACATTTCTTGGATGCATTGGCCGGGTATATAAAAATGTTCTAGAAGTTCCAGGTCATGCACAAAATGTAAATGAATCTAAATTAAAACACTACCCTGAACACCTTGCAATGCATCTACCATCAAATTCAATGCAATACGATAGCAAATGTGGAATCACAGATATTTTTCAAACAATAGTCTCCACAGAAAATAAGGCACATTTACAAGTGCCCCCTCAACAGAAAATTATAACTGTGAGCAGGAAAATAGTTTTGCAGCCCAACATGTATCCACTTTTCACTGAGTGCTGTTCATTGCACAAAGCCAGAACTTGATAGATGAGGGCATTTAGTTTCCTTTGTGCAAACCTTTTGATGCCAAAAACCTGTCAAAAACCTACACCAGCAATCATAAGAACTACTTTCTAAAGAAAGGAGAAGTAGTAAAAGACATTTAGAAATACAAAGGAACTGCAGCAAAATCAAAGCATGACACATGTCAGCTGCCAGAGCAAATAAGAACTTTTTTTTTCTTATCTCAGGGCCTCTTGAATTAATGTTTCTTTTATGAATAAGAACCCAGCCAGCAACTTTATGTGTTGAATATTAAGTGTAACATTTCATTCATTTTTGGCGACGTTCATTTATCTTTTTATTGTTATAAAAACGAAAGCACTTGATTTTGTTTTTCAGTTCATTTCACAGTTGATGAGCTTCCTGATCGGCTTCGTCAGCGCGGTGTTCTGCGGTCACCTGGGAAAGACGGAGCTGGCAGGGATGATGTTAGCAATGGCAGTAAGCTATCTCGATGCGTTTTTTGTTTCTACTTTTTTTTCTATTGTGAAATGTTGAAAATTGCTTCAATAGCCTTTTTGCCTTTGAATAAGCATTATACTCATGCATTCAGCTTTTCATTTGTGAGCCTGAGGTTCTTCTGTAATGTAATAAAGTTTAATTTCAATGCAGGTCATAAATATCACAAGTATTTCCATCGGCTATGGTTTGATATCAACATTTGATACTCTCATAACCCAGGTACAATTCACTTTATTCATCTAATCGGGTCAGTCTTAAACACAGTCTGCTTTTTCAGACTTGTGGTTACCTTTTTCTTGCACCTCAGCAAATACTATGAGATTTTCCTTTTTACCATTTTGCTTTCAGACTTATGGAAGTGGTAACCTGAAGCGTGTAGGAGTGATACTCCAAAGAGGAGTTTTGATCCTCCTCTTAGCCTGTTTCCCCTGCTGGGCTCTCCTTATTAACACTCAGTCCATTTTGCTGGCTGTCAAGCAGAGCACGCAGGTTGCAAGGTGACCTTCTTACACAAATCAAACTGACATCAATGGCACATATACACTTATTACTCACAAAGTTATTCAGTATGGGTTCTGCACTTACTTACAATCTCCCCTTTTCTCTCTGCCATAAAGACTGTCACAGCTGTATGTGAAGATCTTTATGCCGGCTCTGCCAGTGAGTTCAGCTGCCACCACGCTTTTCCCAAATGTCTTTTGTATCTCCTTCCATAATGTGTTGCATTATCAGTCTAATTAACCCCCATTCAACACATTGGGTTCGGCAGGCTGCCTTCATGTACCATCTGCAGGGGAGGTATCTTCAGAATCAGGTGCATTTGATGACTGCAAAACACTGGTGTGAAACAAAATATTAATGAGATGTCTTGGAGTATGCAATGACATTGTTTTGTGTGTTGCTAGAGAGACATTTTTTGGGGGAAAAATAGCAAAAATAACAGCAGGTGCACCAAAACCCTGTGTTTTTCATACAGTTTGCTTTGGCTCACAGGGCATCATGTGGCCCCAGGTGATATCCGGAGCCATAGGAAATGTTTTAAATGCTGTTATCAATTACATCCTCCTCAGTGTTCTGGATCTGGGGATTGCGTAAGTACACACCATCACTCCCTGCTCCCCTTAGTTAATATTTTACACTAATCAGCTTTGGAAAGCAATATAATGTTGATTACTGATAGTCAGCTGAATGCTTAATCTGGGAACGTCTTTGTATGTGCAACTTTCCTTTTCTACTTTTCTATTGCTTAACATTCAAGCGGATCCGCAGCTGCCAATGCCATCTCACAGTACTCCCTGGCTGTGTTTCTGTTTTTATGCATCTACATCAAAGGGCTGCACATACCTACATGGGATGGCAAGTTTACTAGATATACTTTTTCTTCAAATTTTCAAATTAAGTGACAGGATATCAGAGAAAGGGCAAAGCCACTCTCTTGGAACTAATACTTTGCTCCTCATTACAATTATAGGAATCAGTTGTGCATAAACTCTTTAAGGGTGTTGCTATTTAAACTGACTGGACTCCACATTACAATCATTATGGAGGATTTAGTTTGTGATGCTATTATATTTTTAAATTGTCCTCAGAGTGTACACGAAAAATACTAAAAGACAAGCCAGCAAATACTTTTGAAAAACCTATTTTTTTAAAAAGCACATTTACACCTTAATTATAGATTTGTTATGTAATTTGTTAAATTACATCAGCTTTGCTGTCGGTGAACATGTACAAGCTGTTTGTTTTTTAAATCATTACTTTATTTAGTTTTTATTCCTTAATATGTGCTGAGTTGAAAACTTGTCTATATATGTAAAAGTCAAATTTTTTGACATTTGGGTTTCAGTGTTTAGCTAACATGCTTAAGCTAGCTAAAGAGCAACATAGCTGAGGTAGAAGAATTACAATTTTAAATAATTTAGGCATATTTTTGTCCTTCAAAGCGAGTGTGATACATAAAGTTCCTAAAAATTAAGGAATGCTAGCATGCTAACACACTGCTAGAAACGCCTTGTAGCATAGTAGATACTGAAAGAAGTGTAATTTAAATGGCAGCACAGTGTAAAGAAGGCAAATGTGAGCATTTAGCTAAACCTTTCATACCTTCTGTTATCTTTCAGGCTGGTCTGGAGATTGCCTGCAAGAATGGGGTTCCTTCCTCCACTTGGCCCTCCCCAGTATGCTGATGTACTGTCTGCAGTGGTGGTTGTATGAGATTGCAGGGTTCCTGGCTGGTGTCATCAGTGAAACAGAGTTGGCGGCTCAGTCTGTAGCTTATGAAGTGTCTACTGTCGTTTTCATGGTAACTCGTTTTTTGATATAGTTATTTAAACATTTTTTAAAGGTATGTGCAAGAGGGCTCATAACTGAGTAGCTTATTGATAATAACTGTAACACTGTGTCACTAATCCACACACACTCAAAATATATTTATGCCCAAAATGCTGATATAAGTTATTTGATTACATGTAAATTCTCCACATAGTTTTGTTACATTATTGCAGTGTCAAATGAAATGTACTTGATTGGTATAAATTCAATTTAAGCTTCTTCTTTTTTTGCTTAATGATTAATTATTTAAATATTTGTATATATTTCAGTTTCATTTTACTTAAAATTATTGATTCATGTTTATTCATGTGGTGAATAATTGTGAAAAAAAAAGATCTTTTGCCACATTGGCGAGCCTGTATATTGAGTTTATTTTACACACATTACATAAAGTTATTGATAAATTCTAAAGTAACTAAATGATTTTCATGAGCAAAATGTTACTCTGTTACTGTGAAGTAATTGCTAACATTTGCTCTTCCACAGTTTCCTGTAGGCTTTTCTGCTGCTGCCAGTGTTAGGGTTGGAAAGGCTCTTGGTGGTGGGAACACAGAACAAGCTAAGCTGTCCAGCAAGGTCTCCCTTCTCTGTGCATGTATGAAATGATATTACATGCACATTACATTATATTATATTGGGATGTCACACCAAAATCAGAATTTCCTGTTTTAGTATGCTGTTGTCAAATGAAAAATATCTCAAAAATGAGAGCAAGAAAATAATTATATGCCTAGTTAATTTATTGCTCACATTTTAAAAAAATGCCTTTCTTATATCCAATCCAGTGATTGTCTCATGTTTCCTTGGAGCCGGTATTGGTATAGCCAAGGATGTGATTGGTTACATATTTACCACAGAGAGGTGAGTAATACAGAGAGGTGAATAAACTTGTGTGTTTATCCTTGGTGCAGAAACTATGAGTATATGTCAGTCATGAGTAATTCATCATGTATTAACTTCAGTACTAATCCATCTGTGCTTCTTAATACACAAAAGTAAGTCATGGAGTTCCACAGGGGTCTGTAGTGGTAACCAATACTTTACATTATACATGTTCCCCTTATATAATATTATTTGAATTATATTATTTGACTCTGAATAACATTTTCATTGCTATGCAGCTGACATCCAGCTTAATGGCATAAAGGCCTGGGTGACCTCTCATTTCATACTTCTAAATTCAGACATAACTAAGGTTATAACCTGATATTTATTTTAGAAGGCGTTTCTTTGGCTTACCTCAATGATACTGAAAAGCTACTTCATGAATGTATTACTTCTAGGCTGGACTATTTTAATTCATTATTATCAGCTTGCTTTAAAAGCTCCCTGAATAACCTTCAGTTGGTAAAAAAATGTTCCAGCAAGAATACTAACTGATACTAGAAAGGGGGACAATATTTCTCCCATATTAGCTTCTCTTTATTGGGTTACTTGTGGCTGAAGGTAAAATAAGGTAAAATGGGAGGCAGAGCCTTCTGCTTTCAGAGTCCTGTTCTGTGGAACCAGCTCCCAGTTTGGATCAGATGACCCTGAGCTATCCATTAATTACACTGCAATACGACTAGGCTACTGGGGGTTCCCGTGATGCACTGACCATGTGCTTTGTGCTTATATACCACTCTGCATTCAATCAATAATAATTATGGAACTCTGGCTTTTTTTTAGATGCGTGTCTTGTCCTGATTCTCTCTGCTGTCTTCTCATTCTCTTCACCCTCGACCGGTCACAGCAGACAGTTCTGCTGGAGGTTTCTTCCTGTTAAATGGGAGTTTGTTCCCTTCCCAGCTTCAGCCACTTGCTTGCTCATAATGGGTCACGTGATTGGGGTTGGAGTTTTTTTCTACTGTTGTGGGATATTTACGTTCCAATATGAAATACCTTGATCAGACTGTTGTTGTGAATTGGCACTATATAAATGAAACTGAATCTAATTAAATTGGCTTACTCCTACTTACTCCTCTATTTCAGAGACATTATACAGAGGGTGGCTAATATCATGAAGATATACAGTTTCATCCATGTTGCTGAGACTATTGCGGTGAGATCCTTCCCAGTTCAAAAACGCTTTTTCCCTCTGCTGAGCAAAACCAGCCTGATGTGTCGACAGAAAACTTTTATTTGCTTTTTTACCTTCACAGGGTGTGTCAGGAAGCATTGTCAGGGGGGCAGGGAAGCAGAAGATTGGTGCGCTGTGCAGCTTGGTGGGATACTACCTCATTGGGTTCCCGATTGGAGTATCTTTAATGTTCCCTGTGAAAATGGGAATTTTTGGTTAATGTCAACAATATATTTTTGCAGCATATACAAAAGATAGTTAAATTATATTTACACTAACAACTAACTGATGACTTTCTATCTCTGTTGCAGGGCTTTGGACTGGGTTTTTAGTTAGTACTTCTTTACAGTCCATGTTTTTTATAACTTTCCTGTGTAAACTAAACTGGACGAAAGCCACTGAGGAGGTGAGTAAGTCCTGGGTGAGGAAGAGGAAGATACAGTCATGTAAAAAAGAACATGTTAAGTCCTGTGAAAAAAGCTTCCAGAGCCACTTTTAGTAGCAAGAACTAGAAGTAATATATTTCAATGTGACTTTATCAGAAGGAGTTTCAGTCTCTCATGTTGTTGTGGAGGATTTTTTTTACAACAGCGCTCCAGTTTCTTGAGACTTGCTGGTATTTGTTTATGCACAGTTCTCTTAGGGTCCCACCAAATTTCATTTTCAATCAGTCTGAGGTCTGGACTTTGACTGGGTCACTCCAACACCTTGATTCGGATTTAGTTTTTTGTTGTTGTTTTTTACCCTTTCTGTTGTAGATCTGCTGCTGTGCTTGGGATCATTGATGGTCTTACAGTTGACTCCAGAATACGTCGGTATACAGAGTTCATAGTTCTATCAATGACTGCAATGTGCCCAGATTCTATAGCTACAAAAGAAGCCTCTTCAATTACCCCTTCACCACTGTGCGTGACAGCTGGTATGAGGTCCCAGAAAGTTGATCCTTTTTATCTGGATTTAGTGTTTTAAGTGGGAGAAGCCATTTTGTTAGTCATCCAAATGACCCCTCACGTGGCTGCAGGTTTCCCCAACTAACACCACTGACCAACACTGGGCCATGAGCACAGTTTCCTAATCATTAACATGCAAATTGTCAAGACCATTGCTTAATGGCCATTCACAGAGAATTAGGGAATGACTAGAAAAACAGCATTGTAAGATTCTGAAATAGCCTGACACATAAAGGATGACCAAAGTTCTTTGCTTAGGCAGCGGTTGTCCTTCTTCTCTTCTGGAATGTGTGGAGCATTCTTTAGGGGACTTCCCAGCTTTCACAACATGTCCAGCTGGAATAACCACTTTCACTCAGGGCCTTTCTGATATGATGTTCCTCTGCTTTCAAGATGAGATAAGAGCATTTTTCTCCAAAAGAGAGACGTTTTTGTGCTTTGTTCAGATACAGCTTTACAAACCTAAGCTGTGCTGCTATGTTGTTATTACAGAGATTCTTCTGAGAACCTTTCCAAAGAAGTCATGTTTGTTCAGCGTTTTTCTCAGTGTTCTGAGGCCTGTGTTTTGGGCATTTTCTCTTTTGTGTGAATGTAAGAAATGTAGTTAATGTAATGTTAACACGATCTATGTAAAATCTGGGATCTGTGTTATTTTTAAAATACTTATTTTTTTTCTTGTTTTTTAATATCTCTGAATAGGCACTTGTAAGAGCAGGAGTCCAAATTACAGAGAGGAATACTAATGGTAAGCAAAAACAAAATTTCCTTCAGTAGCTTTTGGTCATTTTTCTGGGAAATAAGATTACCGTGATTTTAAAGTTTCCCTGAGCACCCTGGACCCAAGGGAAAAATGCGTAACGACCAGCCGATCCAGTTCTGTGATTCCAGTAGAAGAAAGGCCAGAGCCACTCAATTCAGATGAGAGGGCCTTGGGCGCCATGGCCTTATCCACCAGGCAGCTGGTGTTACGACGTGGTGCCACTGTGCTGCTAATGTTCGTCATCCTTGCTGCTGGAGTTATCATCAGCGAGATTCTCATCAGACGCCTTGAAAAGTGATTGAATAATGTGTGCAGTACAAAACAAACAAACAAGTCTGCCTTTAGGAGTATATGTGACATGTATCATAGTAAAGCATATCTTATAAACCAGCTTAATATTTATCACAGGATGCTGTGAAGTTCTGTCTGCACCCATAATATGAAGTAATTAGGATGACTGTGAAGACTGTGAATTGCCCCATCTCAACTAATTCGTCATTTAAAATATTCAGTCCAACTTTTACACAATTTTAGGCCATTTTGTTTTCTGCACTTAGTGCATGAGATGGCAAATAGCAGCATTAGAATGAGCAGTAATTACTGAGCTTTCTAAAAGTCAAACACGCTTCTTGGGGCTGAATTATAGCTTCATTTCCTGACATTACTGCACAATCAAAATGTCTTTAAAGCCACAGAATATTATCTGCTTGCCATTTCAGTAGTAGTATTTGAGGTCAGTTTTCTAGCTCTTTCTAGATCTAATTTAATCCATAGTCGGAAAAATATAGTAAAAAATAGGGCTTAACTGAATGAAAAGCCAAACTGAAAATAGTTACTGTATAGACAAGACGTTCTTTTTTATAGGAACATGCTGTGTAAGCTGAGCACCAATCGAGACTGTGAAATAAATAAAATTTCCCATCCTACAATTCATAGCCTGAATTGGTGCCGCAATTAGAACCTAACATGATTAAAGGTTATATTTAGGCTACAGCACATCTGTGGAAGGGTGCTTTCATCATCAAAAGACAGAAATGCTACTCTCTTGCTTGGTTTATCTTGCGTTCCTTTGATCTGTGTTGCCAAATTTGATGATAATGAAAGGCCTGTATGTGCTCACTGTAACATGCTGGCTGGATAAAGACATGTCACCCTGAGCAAATCAACCACCTGTTCCCTCTGCCCGAGCAGATAACCAGCTCACAGCTGAAGCCTGCTCATAAATAAAGGATTCAACCTGCTTAACAATGAACAGTCAACCATGTGGGATTTTGGCATGTATATGTGGTGTTTGTACACAGCTATTAATTAAATAAATTGACTGTTTGTCTGTAATATCTAAGGTTAGCCTGGAATCAGTTAGCGCAAAGGCTAGAAAGAGGAATCACTGCTCAAAGATAACAAAATCTGCATTTAAATACCTCTAAAGCTCACTATCTACTCAATTGTGACCAGTGACTATACCAGAGCCTGGCTCCTCCTTGTACAGTCTGTCCTAAAGCAAAGACATGCTATTGTGTTTGGGCCAGATTTCAATTAATTCTTTTTTTGGAGCAAGTCAAGAACAAGTAAATAAGAAATCTGATTTTTATTTGATTTTAATCTGAACTCAACCAGCATGAGAAGTTCCCAAATTACGCTCATAACATGTTAAGTGAATAGAAAACAGGGGAACAGGTTTTGGTTGCTCTAGCTTTATTTTTGCTTTTTCTCATCAAGCATATTCCCCTACTACATTACTTTTATTTTACTTGTGCAAATGCTAAACCTTGATGTTAAGCAGCTAATGGATGGTCACACAAGGCCCTGCACTTGCTACAGCTTGATGTTTGCAACAGTACGGTTAAAAAAAAACTTGCATATTAATTTATCGTTATTCAACATGTAAATCAGGTTTGATTCATACAAGGTTACATCGTCATCTGAGCTTCAGTCTTGCTCATCAGTGGAGGTATTGCCACAGGCTCCTCACAGAGACCATAATCTTGGTCTGCTCGCCTCCAGAGACTGCAATCAGTAACACGCTGCGGCGTCATTAACAAGTGAAAAGTGACTGTCTAAAGATTTGCTGTTAGTATCTTTAGACTGCAACTTAGTCTCTTTACGAGTCTCATAATAACTTTTCAGGTGTTGTAACCACAAAGCACAATAATATTCTTGAACCTCAGTTAAATTATGACTCCAATTAATGCAACAATATAAAGCTGGGACTGAGTTTAAATGTTCAAATTTAAATGGAAATAAATAGAAATAGTATTAAATGTTGAAACGAACACATTTTCTTGCTTGTTTTTTGTTTTTTAAGAAATACATTCTCATTTTAAACTCGATGCCAGTTCGCATGCTTTAAAATAGTTGGGATGGGGGCATGTATCCCATTATGTGGCTATACATGTACTTTTAAACTACACTTTTGATAACTGAGGAAGCCAGCAGCTGTAGCTTTGAAAGCAAAATGATTTTGTGTTGTTGCTTGGAATTTCATCTCCACAGCAATTCGGGGACTCCTTTGTTGTATTTTTCATTTCATAATGTACAAAATGTTTCAAGGGGAGACAGCTTTGGACTGCAGGCAGGGCCATTTATCACCTGCACTAGTTTGCCATAGTGGTCTCCTTGGTCTACCTGCATAATGTTGTCTGGCACTATCTCACAGACACAAGCAAGGCTTTCTTAAAAAAAGACATCATCTGCAGGACAACAAGTGCTGTTCCAAAACCTGCAAAAACAGTACAGTGTTGTGCATAAGTCTTAAAGCACCTCTCATTACTTTATATTTTGTTTTCAAGGAACCAAACGTTCTCCTAATTTGTGGTGTTTAAATATAAATCGTTTCCCAGGCTTTATGAAAGTCTTTTACTATTTTTCTTTGGATATTGTCTGCTTTTCATTCATTTTCATTCCAGACCTTATGTTCACCATTTTCAGAGGTTTTGTTTGTTTTTCTTAAGGCACTTAACACTATGAATCATTCAAGCACAAAAACTAACAAGAAAGGCATCTATATCAAGGGACAAACTGGTACATTGGACAACTTAGCAAAGAGAAACATTTAAATTGGCACTTTGTTACAAGCAGCCTCTCAAAAAAAACACATAATTTGTTCTTGTATGTTCGAACAACGGTATGACAAATGCCAAGGATAACACAAAGATAACAGTAAGTATTTTATGTGCACTAACAAGGTGATTCTCAAAGAGGTAAAAAGCACGGTTTGTTGTACTTAAAATATTTGAGTAATGTGAAAAAGTGGAGGAAAAAATAAGTAGTGGCCAAGATAGAAAAACTATCACAGCAGATGAACAGCACCTGATAGTCATGTCCTCGGATATGCCAAATTTCATAAGAACTTGACTGAAAATCAGGAGAAACAGGTTTGATGGAGTGATAAATCCAAATTTCAAATTTCAAATGCTTGTCAGTATGAAGTCAGGATACAAGAATCTGGAAAGCATCTGATTGGCAGCAGCTTAATTTTTCAGTATGACAATGATCCCAAATGCAGTAAAAGCATACTGCATTGAACTACACACTGGAAGAGTCATGGATTGGCCTCCCCAGAGCCTGAAACTCAATGTTATTGAAGCAGTGTGGTGTCATCGTGGCAGAGAATGAAATAAAAGGCAGCCAACAACCAACGAAGAACTTTGAATGTCCTTCAAGAAACCTGGAAGTATTCCTGAATACTACTTAAAGAAATTACAAGAAAGTTTTGCTAAGAGAGTTCAGGCTATCTTGAAGAATACAGGTAGTCATACCAAATATTACCAAATTGACTTGTATAAACTCGGTTTTTTATATACTGTCTTTCAATGTGTGTTTGGATATGTCAGTAAATCTCTGCACCTGTTTCCAATATTCCTAACAAAATTTAATGAAATGAGTGTCTCAGGACTTTTGCACAGTACTGCAGTTATGAGCATTCATTCACCCCGATGCCCTCCTGGATATTGATACTCTTCTATTTTCTTTTTTCTTATTTTCTTTTATTTCCAAACAAACCATAATCAGTGACAATGACTTTTTTTTTTTTGCTGTGTTATTTCTAGGCTTTTTCTCTGGGATTCTCTTTTCATACCCAGTCCTGTCACTAATTAACCTGATTACCTGTGCGATTTGTCCCCATGATTACACAATTTTCTAGTCTTATTTTGTGTAGAGTGCATATCATATAAGCTCTATTCGATACTGCCACTCTTTTGAATACTTCATTTGTGCTGCTTGTGCAGTATCTGTGTGCTAAGAGGTTGAATGGGTATGTTAGGCCCAGAAACAATTGTAGCTTCTTTTTAATATGTAATAGACATTAGCGGTTATTGATTGGGGTGTGAGCTTTGTTTCAGTCTTACCTGCATCAGTCAAGTTCCTCCACACCAAATTCGCTCCTCCACATCTTTATGGATCTTTCTTTGTGCACTGGTGCGCAGTCGTGTTGGAACAGGAACAAGCTATCTCCAAACTGTTCCACCAAAGTTGGGAGCATTTAAATTGTGCAATATGTCTTGGTGTGATTAAGCATTCAGTTTTATTTGTCATATGCAAGTTAGCACAGGGTCAACATTGCAATGAAATGTGTTTGACGAGCAGCAGTCACTCAGCAGCATGG